CTCTCTCTCTCTCTCTCTCTCTCTCTGCATTTTTTTCCATCTCGATCCAATATCCAAGTGAAGGATATGGCTTTATAGAAAGAAGGAGAGATATCGGTTGCATTTCATTGGCCTCTAAGTAGAAAAGTCCATTAAAAGCATTTCTGATTCACGTCCATGACTTGCGTCGGCGTTTACGTGGATGGCGTAACGTCACTACTGTGAAAGGAATGACCGCATTCGAATTATGAATATTTTTCGTCATTGGAGCTCTTCCAATGTAAACTCCGATTGATCTGAACATTACTCGTCGGTGCGGGTATAATTCCGATCGGAACAAGGCAAAACTCTTATATTCACGCTTGAAAGAATCATACCAATTCAGTAAATACTGACGATAATAAATAGAAAATATAATAGATAATAATATTATTCAACAATCAAACTCTCTCTGAAGTGCGATAGTACATTTTCCACAGATTTCCGAATCGTAAAAGTCTTTTTCCAATATAGGTTTAATGGGAATTGGCGACGTGAAGCAATAAATTAGATACAGTAATAATTTCCGTAAAGTTTACTGATTATATATTCTAGCACAGATCGCTGCACTTCTAGAGGCACCTGTGTACATACACCTCAAAATAATACTATTGCACGTGCTACAGCCTTATGTGTATACTACTAGTATGAGTTATTAATTAATAAATGCGTAAAGTTCTTTACACATTTACTTACTAATTAGTGCTGCTATAGCTATATGCAGTGATTATTGATATAACAATCAGGGCTCTCGTTACATCAAAATTTACCACACATACACTGCTACGGAAATGCATTCTCATGTTTAATACATAACGAGTATTCGCAGCTAATCTTTATTTCTTTGTCTCTCTATGTGCTCTGAAGTAATGGTGATTTACTCACCAATGGAACGAGTATTGATCACACAAGATGATTAAATATAAATGTAACTAAAGTTGCGAGATCGCATTACCTCTCGTGCATTACAAAATAAAGCATAAATGCAATTTATAATTTAAATTATAATTGAAATTAATCATGCTTAGGCTGTATGCCTATCAGACTATGCATTGAAGATTGAGATTAAAGATTGAAAGATCGAAATTTGACTAATCAAAACAAAAAAGCTAAAATTTTTTTGTCCTCATTGATCAAATTTCGAATTTCAATTTTCAGTCTCAATCTTCAATGCGTAGTCTGATTTCAGCCTCACTGATATTGAAAGGACATCAATAATAGTTTGAGAGAGAGAGAGAGAGAGAGAGAGAAAAGAAAGGAAGGAATATATGTATATAAAACGTGACTTCCATAAACACATATTTTCCTTCACATAGGTATTAATAAAACGTTCCATTTAAAACATTTGCGTTCATGCATACATCGTTAGGAATTACTTTATACCTTTGTTTACACGATCCGGAGAGAAGAAAATATTTGCAGTGACGATAAAACATAGCGATTACCGGTAATTAATTACAAACCAGCAGTGAAAAACAATCTATCACCTACAGTTTGTAATTACGATGAACTATGATTATTTGGCGATTCTAAAAGAATTTACGTCAATAAATCGGAGTTCTTAACTTTTATTATAAAACTTTTGAACTGAAAATGGTAGGTTTTAAAGAAGAAATATCATTTTTAAGAAGATTCGGTGTAACGTATGAGATTAATAATTGTTTAAATAATTATTTATTAGTTATTTGTTAAATACGTGCATTTTGTATTGTGTATCAGAATTGTGATTTAGTATAAAGTGAAAATTTTTTGCTATGGACGTGTATAAATATCTATATATTAAATGAATAAATTCTATGAAGAAATAAGTAAACACAAATATTTATTTATAGACAGTCTATGCATAATGTATTCACAAAACAAATTTTACTTTATATGTATATATAAAGTATTGTAGAAAAATTTCAAAGAAAATCTGGTCACTAACCAGAAACTGGATAGTTTTTCTTGGATTAATTAGACAGTAACTATTCAAAACTTGTCCAGAAAATACTGACTATTATTTGATGGCCAGTTACTGGCTATAAACTGTGCACGAAAAAATAGTAATAAAATACTAGGCAGTTTCTGTCCAGTAAAAATTCGGAAAATACTGGACAGAATTTCATGTGATCAGTTTTTGGTCAGGAACTAAACAAGAAAAATAATAAGTAAATTCTGTCCAGCTTCTGTCCAGTAAAAATTCTGAAAATATTGGGCAGTATTTTATGAACAGTTTTTCTGGCCTGTCAAACTAGCCAGAAACTAGCTAGTAACTAGAATTCCTAGCCAATTTCTGACTAATTTTTGGTTTGTGTTTTCTACTTGGGTATATGTATATATTCATGAGTTCAATGTTTTTTATACATTACATTATATTAAATAATTTATAATTTATTATTTAAACTATAATAGTAAACAATACATTTGTTAAATAAAAAGTTTTAATCCTTGTAATATCTTCTAAGATTATAGCAATAAATCATTCCAGTGGATATTTCTCTTTGCACGTCGAATGACTGCACCGCATTAAATCTATGTTAATGCGACTAACTAAATCTCATTGAGAATTTTCGTTCCGACAGTAAGGATGAAGATACGTGAGGGAAAGGGAGAATAGGTCGATGATGTTACAAGGAGGCACTTTTGATCTAGTATCCTCTCGAATGCACTCCATAGAATCGTTGAAAGCTTCAAGCAGCTCGTGTTGCGAATGTTGCGGGCACACCCGGTACATTATATACATATATGCACACACATACAATAGATGCATATATCTATATATATAGGAACAATATATGCATTGAATGCAACAGGATCTACTTCAGAGATCATACGCTCGGAAGAGTGCATCCGACTCCCTCTGAGAGAACCTGGTAAAGAATGGGAGCGACGGATAAAAATACAGCCTCGAGAGGAGAAGGGAATTTAGACAAGTTCATATTTATTACTTAACTAGCTTATTTCTTTTTTGGAATTTTGCCATACGATGTTCATTAATGATCAATGAAAGATTTCTTTTTTTATTATATTGATCCGATATTTTTCGTTGTAGTAATATCGTTTAAAGTTTTGACCAGGGAGTTTGAATCGTCCTATAGATCGGTTTATTTCGTGCAATCATAATAATACATGGTATTAATTAAATTAATAATGTTCTATGATTGATATTTAATTATTATTACTCAATTCTTTATATTATATGCACATTAACTGAACTCAACGTTGTAAACCAATGCTATAATATAATTCGAATATATTTCATTTACAATTAATTATTCGTAAAAAGGGGAAAAGAATCGTTTATTTATGTCTCTATCTTGTAAATATAATTTCCAATTTTATTTCAATATTCACTGATGTGCATTGTAAAATTGAAACATAAAACTCTTGGTTATTATGTTCGTTGTTCATTGGTCGTTTTTTGTAGATTGCGACGATGTTGACTGTATGACCATTAGCGAATGAATATCCGTGTTTTATATTTCCAGGTTAGATAATTGTCTTTGTTCAAGGTTTAAGATACCTGGAATCGGTGAAATAACGATCGTGTTCTTGTTCGATGTCACAATTCTTTTTGCATTGCTCTCAAATTCCTGCGTCGTAGTATTTTAAATTCTATGAAACTTACTAATGCATCCACATCGCAAATGAGCATTTGCGAATTGAAATAGCATCATTTAATCAATATCACCAAACATTTTTTTTATCCGCGAAAAATACTTTTACGTATTTACCTTAAGTATGATAAAAATTATTGCGATAACAATTGTAATTGTTGTATGATATGGATATAGAGACACTAACATTGGCTGATTTAACTATGCTGCGATAAGCTATTATTAATAAGTCATATCTACTATAAATATGTATAACTATAATTATCAATAATTGATATCATATCATAGCTATTATTAATAAGTTGACATGATTAATTATGGTCGTCACATAAACTGTTATTTTATTGTGCGTTTTACTATTAATATGTAAAATAAGCAATTTTTCCTTGATAGAAAATATGATTCTCGCCGTTTTAAATATTGGGCTCTTATTGTTATTGGCAAATAAATCGACGCTCATTAAACGCTAATTATACGACGACTAATTAGATAAGTACGATAAAGCATGGCTCGCTTTATATTCTTTGTCCTGCTCTGTTTTCGCGAAAATCCGTTGGATCCGAGCACGCTGTATCTCCGTTGTTAATTCTCGCTTATAATTTATCGAGAAACTTTAAATGGACTCTAGCGCACGTTGAAAAACTTGTGGGACACCCATTAGCTAAGTAATATAGATGTATACAAGAAAGAGAGAGATAGAAAGAGAGATCTGTCCCATCACGAAACATTTCATTATATTCACATAATATAAATGTAATGTTGAAGAAGTTCTCATTTAGTATAAAATCGCACAATTTATAGAATATATTAAAATAAAATACTAAAATAAAAAGAAATATGATAGATAATTTGCCTCCTTACTTTAAAAGTGACACGACTAAAAAAAATTAAGAAAAGGAGAAAAATCTAATTCTAGAAAAGAGGAAAAAACTAATTCTAAAAAAGAGGGAAAAACTAATTGCTTGACAGAAAATTATTAAATAATTAACCAAATAATATTAACAAAATGATCAACAAAAAGATTATACATATATTTTTAATTTGATCATTTTTATTATTTTTATTTTACAACTCTTAAAAAATTCACTTTTTTTTAGTTATGTTTTTGATGATTTTTTATGAACTTAAATTAGTTCACTTTTGATAATTGATGAAGAGTTATCTTTAACTCATTCATGGCAATAATTCGAAAATCACGTCTTTTGACGTAAGACAGTGATATGTATAAGTGTTAAACGGTACGAGAAAATCGTGAACAAAAGATACTGACTCAAAATCTGACTCGAAGAGGAAAAGCAAGATGAGGAGAAATGTATGTTTTCGTGTCACGTTTTATTATACTGCAGAAGGATAATACTCTTTATTCTTTCTTTCTGTTCACAGCTGACAGCAGTTTTCTACTAGCAAACGCCCAGATCGTCGACTTCCCGATCGTCTATTGCAACGAAAGCTTCGTCAAAATCTCCGGCTACAATCGTGCAGAGGTACGAGTACGTTATTTGATATTATATACGATATTTAATTTGTGTTTTCTTCACTCTTTTTATCTTCGCCAATATTATTGCGTTAGTATTTTCGTATAATTGTATTTACATGACACAGGAAAATGAATAACTTTACTCGTAAAATTTAAACATTGCGATAATGTTAATTAATTAATTAGTTAATTACATATTGTGTCAAGCGTCACAAAATTTAATTTGTCAGATATTCATTTAATTTATTCGACACAATAGACCGCCAATTATCTGGACATGGATTATCCAAATATTGATTTTCTGTAATAATTTCAATATTTAAATATGAATATTATACAGGATGATAGTTAAATACTCTAAAAGATTTTAAGGGTTAGCTCTCATACTCTAAATCAAGATGAAAACTTTATATAATCATATGTTATATAAAGTTTTCATCTTGATTTATTATAAGGAATTACGTACCTTTCAAAATCTTTCAGAATAGCCAAAGGGTTATCAGCAGGTTATCAGCGTATCATGATCTTTTTTTAATTAATTTTTTATTAATTTTTAATCTTTCAGAGTTACTAACCTGTATAATATATAATAATTTACATATTGCAGTTATATATTAAAAATTATTTTATTTATATCGATTTGTTTTAATACACATTTTTAGGAATCTTTATTTAAAAAGCTGATCAATAACAAGTATATTACTGTTCCTCAGTAATACACTTGTTGATTAATTTGGCTATATTTGGAAATGAATTATTACTAATATAATTTGTGCTTGATATGTGTGCTTTATGCATGTTACATTTCTTTTCTTAAATTATGCAATTGGAATCAACAGTCATTGACGTTGTTACGCGTTTGTATCGAATCTTCTATAAAAGCTGTTTATTTTGGTAAAGATCCAATAAATATTATATACACAACATTATCGAATATTCCGGAATATTTCGATATTTACCTGGCAATACAGTATACTATGAGCAATGATTTATTTATTCTTTGTCATTTTTCACTCTTTAAAGAACGAGATTAGTGCAAGTGGCGAGCGGATAACGGGATTTAGCGATTAGCGGGTTCATTCATCGACATTAATTTATTACAGTCATGCATAAGGATAAGGGATTAGAAGGTTATGTGCGAGGCAAGAAGTCGACTCTGATATCGAACTTTTTAGCTAAAGATTAATTAATTGCTAATTTAACTTAATTGATCATTCACTTAACGATCTTCTCTCTGAATTTAATAATTTGTTGTTTATACATTGTTTGAATATTTACCATTATTGTTGCAGAAAATCTCAAAATTTACACGAATTAAAATAATAATTAATACGTTGTATGAATGATTAAAACAACTAGAATTTTGCTGTAAACATCGAGTATTTGACGGAGAGGGAGAAAATATCATTATTCATTCTTATATCCTAATTTTTCCTTATTTACTGATTATCTCCTTTATATTACATCCACATTTAAATGCATGACTATTATATTTGCTGTAACTTTAAAGGATTTACTTGAATATATATATATATATATATTTAACAAAGATCCAAAACAAAACAAATTTTCTATGAAACATAGTTATAAAATAATTATATGCAGAGGATAAACATCAAGATATGCAAAAAAAAAAGATCTTGTTAAATAGAACTCGTAAACTAATAGTAGAAAAACACCCAAAAATAGCTTTTCACACTTACATTGAACATCTTGAATTATTTGATTCGAATGTGACTGGGCTAACTGCGCTCTGGGGTCTCAACCAAAGTGACGACGTAGTAGCACAAGCTGTAACCACTTCGTTTCTGTAAGACTCCTAGTGTTCCAATCCTATTGTTTGAGAAGATACATGGATTTGGGGTTTGCAAACTCCATTACTGGAAACCGGATTGAGGATGCTTTCGTGGGAGGTTTACAGGATGGAGACCGAAAATGATGGCGAAGAGTACATTTCGCGTATTCTTGGTCTCGGTCGAGTATCTTGCATAACAAATATACATTATATTATTATTTTACATGAAAAATAAAAACAGGCGCTTGAATGCACAAATAATTGTTGGGCGAATTGGATAGTTTTAAAGCTCCTTTTGTATAGTTAATCAATCAGTTCTTTTTAAAAAGTAATAATTTTGCTTGGCAACTTGAATAAAAATCCGTTGCATTAGTGACCCTTTTACTTGTTAGTTATCTCAATTCTGCTTACGTAGCCAAGCAATATTATTAAAGAAAATTACGTTTTTAGTCTTATTATCTTCAGTTGTCTCCAAGCATAATCGGATTAATATATAACCGTACAATCGTAGAATTAACTTCTTCGTTTAGAAAATCTCCAAATGATATTCTTTAAAATCATGCCCCTATATTTACTCAACAATATTATGTATATCAATTAACAATATTACGTCTGTGCTTTTCTCTTTTTATCGTTCATCCACAAAAGTATATCTTTTTTTATTATAGATGTGAAAAGCATGAAAAAGTACAGCTAACACAATGGACTGTTACTGCCTACAAGAAATATGTGCTATTTCGTGTCATTTTATCGCACATCTGCATGCTACGAATGTTGAAACGGTAGATACGAGCAAAACAGAGATGGCTGGAGCAAAATATATTTCAATATAGCATTTAAAAGAAATCTCTTTAATGTCAGTTTATTGATAAAGTTAAAGGCGCGGAAATAAATTGCAAAAGTTCCATATTTTTGTCCATTAAAAGTTTTTGCCGCTTTACGAATTAAGCGGATATTGTTTCTTTGAATGTCATTCTTTTTACACAACTTTATAAAATTGCGTGCTCAATTAAAAAATCGTGCCGAATAAAAAAATTGCGCCCATTTAAAAACACGACGAGCACGGATTTGATTGGGATCAAGTTATTTCATTCCTGTTGCGTCTGCAAACCACAAGATTTAAAGGTCAGCACTACGGGATTAATAAATCTGTTTCGAGGTCGAAAAATACGATATCACCTATGCTCGATAACCTGCACGAACTGCACAAACCGTTTCTCGCTTTCGTCGACATTTGATAACATATCGGATCAACCTTTATCGACAATATTGATCCATGAGATCGCTATTTAAAGAAACGCTTTATTCACAATGCCTTCTGTTTACAACGTTTAATGTGCGAATCGATAGTACTGCATTATACATTACATTAATTTTCATATTATATGTACACAAGTTTGAATACAATGATATTGTTGATTGGGAAAATAATTATTTATATGAAAATAATTTATCCATTAAATTTCCAGTTACAATCGTATCTCATAATTGCACTTTTGACTGCCTATTTTTTTTTTACAAATATTGTAAATAAATTATCTTTAAACGCATGATAATATGAACAAAATTCGAATAACAGATACTCTATTGTTACAAACTTAAAAATTTCGTATTATTAAGTATCTATAATAAATAATTTAAAAAATAGCAAATACGAGTCACACGCGATTGTTGACATACATAATGTATAAAATAATTTTATTTCTGCTCCCTAATAATCGCATGCGACTCGTATTTGCTGTTCTTTTAATTATTTGACATTATCGCGAGTTTGAGTTTGTATTAGTGAATTATAACTCAGGATACACTCTTTATTAATATAACAAAATAAGTGCAGAATGTATATTAATAACAAACAAATCGTTATAATGAATCTTTTATCCATAATCATGTCTCATTTATTATTTGCCCTACGTATTTTATATTTATATTAATAACATGTGTTATACACGCATATACATATGAGGTAAATGTGTCAATTAGTAGATAATTAAAGACACGACCTAATTATTAGTTGAAATAACAAAAATTTAAATACTAAGCTTTTAATGATATGTACGATTCTACTGTAATGAAAATAAAGAATAAGATTAAAAGAAACATAAGTCAAATAAAAGGAGAGTACAGAAGCGTAAGCAAACGTTCTAAGGAGTGTAAATTGGAACAATAGAACGTAAACGAAGCGTTAAAATGCTTCGTAAACGCTTTACGCTTCTTTTATGTTCCATTGTTCCAATCTACGCTCTTTATAGAACGTTCGCTTACATTTGCTTCTATCACTCTCTTTTATATTCGACTTGTGCTCCTTTCTGTCTTGTGCTTTGTTTTCGCTAGAATAAATAAAATCATTGTTTATGGAAATTTAATAAGATAAATTAGAATTATACATATCATTAAAAGCTTAATATTTAAAATTTTTATCATTTTGTCTAATAATCGGGTCATGTTACATGTTCACTATCTAGTACATTTACCTTATTGTACCTACATACAATCTCCAAATGAAAAAATAAACTGTGATGAATATTTCATACGTCCTCTTTATATTTCCAGGTTATGCAAAAGTCATGTCGTTGTGGATTCATGTATGGGGAGCTAACGGACAAGGAAACGATTGCCAGAATCGAGGAATGCCTTGAGGGTCAGATTCACGATCAATTCGAGATCTTGCTGTACAAGAAGACCAGTGAGTTATTACTTTTATAAATCTCCGCATGAAAGCTTAAATGTGGTGTTCATGTCTTTTTACGAGTATCGATGGTTTTCAATGTAGCGTCCTTGGTTAGTATTTAATATACAGAAAGGAAGAATGATTGAAATGAATGTTCGGAGAATTATACAGATCTAAAATTTTGCATTTTTTAATCTAACGCATAAATTTATGTTTATTCGTTGGTTTATTTCGCGTGATAAAGCCAGTAAATATTTAGGTAAGAAGAATATTTAGATAAAAAAACAAAATTATAATTTTTATGAACGACCTTATTATAGCGATTTAAAAAGATGAAATTATTTGCTTTCTGTTTATCTAAACTCGACGAATTGTTCTAGTATTACAAGAAGATGCAATTTTGGATTTAGACGAAATTTACATGATGTAATGAAAATCTGTCAGTGGCGAGTACGTTTTTCTTTATGCGTTTATCACGCAGGATAATTGGATAGCTGTGCAAAAAGGTAGTTGGAAAGGGAGAAAAAACTACTCGCGGAATCTCGACCAGGGGAGTTATTGCGCGAAATTTGCATGCGCGTGTTTATCGGGCCAACATCTAGTTTCCTATTGCGCCACCATGCACTTTATGCATTGTGCACGGTGCGGAAACGTTAGAGGTACCCGGCAATCAACCGAGTCTATGTATTTAATGGAAAACAAAACGCCGCCGCTTAACGTAAGGGAACCGACGTTTTGCCAGCGTAACAGCGCCGTTACGTTAATTGGGATATGTACACCGCTGGAAAAACGTGCAATTTATAACTTTTTCATGTAGCAATAAGCTGTAAAAAAATAGTTGCGTTATTTTTTCTTCAAGTATAATAAAATATTTTAATTTCTTTTTTAAGTTATAAACAGATACGAAAATTGAATTAATAATTGCTATTCTATAAACATTTGACATTTATTTCACTGTTATTAAAGTGAACTAGATGGAATATAATAGTATTTATCGAAAGTTAAATTATGAAAATTTAATTTTGTTTCTCATCCTCTTCCCCATCATTATATGTATATTTTGCACAATTAAAATTGTAAATATAATGAGAATATATTACACTGAAAAATAATTTCTTAAAATAACAACTTTACTTATTAAGTGTGTGTAAATTTTTAAAGCACGTTGTAGAAGCATATATATGTTATAGTTACAATGTTTGCAACAATTGCTGACAGCAAAACTGTCGATTCCCGTTTTGCTAAAACGCCTCGAGGCACGAAATGTATCAATGTGCATGCACAATATTTGGTGGAATATCGAAGCGTAACTATAATATCTGCATACATCATCGATAAGTTTCGCGTTTTGCTGGTCGTTCTGCTATCATGTCGCATCATCTGGCTCTAATATTCGCGTGTTATCTCTTATTGCGGAAATGAATATTTAGTTATTTTCTCTATAAAAGGAAACACCCTCCCTTAATGCACATACTAAGCATAATAACGCAAGATCATTCTGTTTAAAGGTAGCCCAAGAGGTATGTCTAGCACAGATTCGCAAAAGCGTGCTCGCAAATGCCAGTAAGTCACCCACGAATCTAAAATCTATGCAAAGGATACCATATATACGACAGATATACTTATCACATCAATAATAAACTTAAAAATTAGCGTTAAAATTTAAATTAATTAAATTTAATTCTAAATCTCTCTAATTCCAGTAATTTCTTAAAAAGACCACAAATTAAACTAGGTACTATTAACTATTATGTTAAATTCTGTTCATTAGAGGATGAAAAAAATAAAATATTTGAAATTTGTTAAAATTATTATTAGTTTTTACAATTATCTTAAATTTTTCGGAAATTTTCTCTTTAAAATTAGAATATCCATTTTATGGAAAAGAGCTACATTTCCTTCTTAATCGGAGCTAGAGCAGAAAGATTACCTTGCAATAGCGCCATTTGCCGATAGTTCAAAAAATAGATCACGGACATTATTTTTGTGCTGCTCGTTTGGCGAATCTAAGTACCTTTTTGTCGGAAAACCACAGTCGACAGTCCTTATCGTCGGAAGAGAGACCGGAGATAAATGCAATGACGCTCATTTTTCTCTTCGAGTAGAGGGAGAAAGAAAGTCACTCTTTGAAGATTATCAAAAATTTACGAGGTTGATTAACTCGTAGGAATAAGTGCTAAAGATTGTAAAAGACAAATTAATTATGTGTCATATTACAGGAAACAAAGATTCTTTCTTACAGAAAATTTATTATTACTTACATTTCATACAGTCTCTTCCTAATAGCACACAGTATATATGTAGTTACATATAATACATTACCGTTTATAAGTACAGGAATGTTTGTGATTTTCTCGCATCTCACGTAAAGTTAAATATTTCAATGAAAAAAGTCATAGAGAATTTTTTTTTAATGTATTTTAAAAAGGAAGAATAGAGCTTTAAATCTAAATTTTAATTTTACTTCTACGATATTTTATATTTCTAAAATTTTTTTTTAATAAAAAATGTAGAAATTGAATTTTTACACGAAAAATTCGGTATTATTGCGAAAAATTGTCGTAAATTTTTACATTGTAAAAGCATTTTAAAATCTATATTAAGATATTTATTTGTTAAAGTTTATCCGATGACGTTTCATCAAGTTGCAGTACTTCAAAGTAAAACAAAAATATTTAAAAAATATCAATTTTTAATTTTATATAATTTAAGAACAAAACATTCTAGGCATAAAGCTAAAACATAGAGATTTAAAGTTCCGTCTTTCCTCTTTAAAACATTTTTTTAAAGCTTTTCCACGATTTTTTTCACCGAGATACTTAACTTTTCGTGAGATGCGAGAAAATCACAAGCGTTTCCGAACTTATAAATGATAGCGTGTGTATACTGTCATAAAAATCTTGATTTCAATTTCTATGATTTTTATCAACATTTCAAAATTGATACAACAATACTTTTTACAGCATACAATATAATATGCATTTACTTGTATATTTTTTATTCACTTGAATTGTTATTAATGTCTATATCTGCATATTAATGAAAATTTTTTATTTAAAGGTCAAATTTGATTTATTATCGTATTTTATTATTGATGCATCATAGAATTAACAACAAAATCTTATGTATAACTTTTTTATCAGTTTTTCCTAGATTGTGCAAATTGAAAGTATATAATATGATCGTAGAAATTCAACCCAATTCAATTATTACACCCATTACTTAGTACTCATTAATAAAACCGAAACATTAGCTAAGTAAGAGAAACGCCAAGTACGATCAAAGTAGTTGGATGTTGGAATAATATTGCTACACTTATTACATTTATTTCAGATATATAACCGTGCGCCGATTACTTTCGGCACACAACACAATCGACTGAAATAAAACTAATCTCACAAATTTATTGTCGATTTGATGCTACTCTCTAACATCTTAAAGCTTTTAACACCTTAAACTTTTTTACAAATCGAAACATTTTCGGTCAATTCTACCGATTGTCTCTTTCTTATTAACAAATTTTATTTCATATATCCTGATATTTCACATAAATTCTACGATGCTATTTTCATTTGTTTTCAGTGCATAACACGCTCTGTAACAGCATAACGCATGTTGCCATATAATTATGCCATTTATATTCAAGCGTATAATTGCCATCCGCGTTTAATATTGAATAATCAAGATAATTTTGATATTTTGCGATAAATATGTTATCTTATATATTTTATAGAAGTTATAATTCTTAACAGAATATTTTTAATTAGCATTTAATAAATTTTTATTAAATGATATAACAATTGCTAGATTTATCATTGAAAATTATTTCAATGCTGAGTTTTCTTTGTCATAATTATCTCGATTATTAAATCCCTCCCGTTTAATTTCAAATTGGTTAAAACCGTAGTTATACTTTCTCATAGTGATGACTTACACTTTTTATTATTCCTTGGAACATGGTTGTCGGTATTTCCGTTGTCGATGTACGTGTCGATATATATAACTTTCCATATGCCGCTGTCGCTCGACAGGCTTACAAGGTTGCTTAATTAAGCCAGTTGTCGGTAAATATCCACATAGGAGTAGATACAAAATATTATCGGACATTTATATATTACTTGTATTCCCTCGGACCCAAAATTTCATCCATGTTTGAATTCCTGTATTTTTTCATTAATCCGCGATAAAAGAATAACAAATTCTAACGAAGTATTGTTAAAATGGAATATTTTTTTAAGACTACGTAAAAATATATTTCATCAAAGAATAATATAAAGATATTAAAGATATCCAAAGTGCCAGAAAATTATTTTTATATTTACGAGCATTTGGATTTTTCGACATTGCAAATGTATTTTAATACATGCCACAACGATATATTTTGGTTAATTGGATATATACTTCTCTTTATTATTCAACACATATATTACTCTTTTCTTCTCCTTTGCTCTACTTAATTTATTCATTACTGTCATTTATTTGCATGCACGCATGCTTTACATTACGAAATATCATAAGCGAGTCCCTAATTAGATTCCATTGGCCTGAACTCGCATCCAGCTTCGATCCTGCATGTCGAATATTTGACATTGTGGACAAGTGTGACTAGTATTACAATAATTTAATGCATAGTACGATTTATTACTTGGATTGACGAAGAGACATCACTATATTATAAGGATTAAGCATTAACTTAGAAATGTAATATTAGAAAATATATTAAGTCTAATATTGATTTAACTAAAGCCACGTAATAACTTATGGACGAATGTTTTAAACTTTTACATCTTATCTATGATATTTGAGAATTTTCTCGCATCGAAGAAAATTTTTCGTATTTTCTTGCAATAAAATATCTCATTTTAGCACTTCTTTAAAATATCTTCGACATTTTTCTTGTTACATTAATCGTATGTTGATTGTATTATCAATTCTTATTTTTAAAAACTTGTCTAATTTATGAAACAATAGTACGATTAGTTCTTATATTTCATTTTTTCTTCTTTCGCACTTTTATTACTGTATATAGCAGACCATTTTATTGGAGTATATCTTTGGACACACGTAGCGTAGATTCTTCTAGATTCCGGCAGCTGAATTGACGACCAGCTGACTCGCTGATTCAATATAGTCTCTGCTAGAGAAATAAAATTCGTAATCTTCTTGCAACTGATAGTGCTTGAAAGAATAAATTAAATATTAGACTTTCTTATTTATTATATCAGTGTTATCCTTTTTTACGATCCATAGAGACACCATTATGGCTGCTGTTGCAAATAGCACCCATCAAAAACGAACGAGACCTTGTGGTCTTGTTCCTGCTGACTTTTCGAGACATTACCGCTTTGAAACAACCCATCGAGACGGACGACAGCAAAGGCGGCCTTTCCAAGTTCGCCAAGCTCGCCAGATCAGTCACCAGGTCGAGATCGGTTCTAGTTTCTCAGTTCAGCTCCCATCTGCCAGCTTTGAAAGATACAGCTGTACCGACTACCACCAAACAATCGCATCTGGGTCATGTAAGTCGTTGAGATGATGCTTCATAGTTTTATCAAAATTAAAAATCTTTGTCTTTTTATATTTATGTATCTTTTATATTCTAATTTTCCTACACGGAGAGAAGGAGTTTTTTCTTTCTTAGAGTTTACCCTGAAAATATGGTAGTTTTGGGACAACATTGTATTTCGAAGAATTTTATGTAAATTTCTTTCATTCATTAATAAAATTACAGTAAAATACAAAATAAATTTGATTAATTTTACTAAGTGCATGGTAAAAATCTTTAAAATATTGTATTGTACTACATTACCATATTTTAAGGGTAAATTTTAAAAGATAATTCTTTCCGTGTAATCTTTAAAATGTTTTCTTTAAAATATCTTTAAAATATATATCTCGATATCCCTTTTTTTACCGTGGCTGAAAATATATAGATATTATTATCATTTCAAAACAGTCAATATGATGAATTATGGTAGTAGTCAACCTATGCGAAATTCCATTTATAAATCGATGAAATAAAAACGTACTTTCAATACGTCGACTTCGTCAGAAAATGGAAAACTGAGACCACATCTGCATGAATTTTTCTTTAAAATCAACCTAGAAAGCTTATACATTTGAAAGCTTTGAAGTGTGAAAAGCTAATGGAGTCAGACTCGATGTAAGAAAGAGATATCAGATAAAAGAGATATATGATGGATAAGAAATCGATATTTAAACGATAAAAATAATTCGTTCTCTTTGATAATAGTTTATTTTAACATATATCTATCAGTATAAACACAATTTATGAAGAAATATCTTTAAGTAACGAATTATATAAATATTTGTATAAATGTATGATATGTTATAAATGTATAAATTTAGCACATATGTAAACAAATTATTTTTATGATAATTATTTTTCACACATAAAGAATTTGCCTCTTGATATATATTTCGACATTATGATCTTCTTTTAGATGATGTCCCTAAGCGGCGATGTTATGCCACAATACAGACAAGAAGCACCGAAAACTCCGCCACACATTTTATTACATTATTGTGCATTTAAGGCAATTTGGGACTGGATTATTTTGTGTTTGACTTTTTACACAGCCATCATGGTGCCGTATAACGTCGCGTTTAAAAATAAGACTAGCGAAGATGTCTCCCTATTAGTTGTAGACAGTATCGTTGATGTGATATTCTTCATTGACATTGTGCTAAATTTTCACACAACATTTGTTGGCGCTGGTGGAGAAGTCGTATCCGATCCGAAGGTAACTTTAGCTTTATCAAAATTTTTTCGTAAGCTATTTAATTATCTATTAAAAATAAATGTTTATATTTTATATTTGTATTTAGAATTGTTACAAATCCTATAAATAACTTGCAGTTTTGTAACATAATTCGTTCATGTTAGTGTAATGAATAGTAATTTACTTTCATACTAATAATAAGAATAAGTGCGTAATAGCTATTTTTTCATAACGTAATACTTTGATATTTTCAGGTAATCAGGATGAATTATCTGAAATCTTGGTTCATCATAGATCTACTAAGCTGTCTACCGTACGATGTATTTAACGCCTTCGACCATGATGAGGATGGAATAGGTAGCCTGTTTTCGGCTCTGAAAGTAGTACGGTTGCTGCGACTCGGTAGAGTTGTACGCAAGTTAGATCGTTATCTGGAGTACGGTGCCGCGATGCTCATTCTTCTACTCTGTTTCTACATGTTGGTTGCTCACTGGCTGGCCTGTATCTGGTACGTCATATTAAGGTGATTTTACCCTGCGTACACACACGTATTCAAGGTAACACACACCTCTCTAACTGAGATACGTACGTCGCGTAATACAACATTACATACTCATACAGAAACGAGGATCACCGGTGATATTCGTTATGTCTAAACATGCTTTCACTTTTTACGTACTATATATATCTCTGTTGCTTCATTATATCTTAAAAATTGAGCGTTAACTATATTATATTATTTTACTAACCATCATTCTACCTATAAAAAAAAAGAAGAAATTTGATTGAGTATAAAACGTCAGTCGCTCTCTATACATTTATTTTATTTAATTTTATTAAAAATAATTTTTTGTAAAAGAGGATGAATGCACAAGAACAATACAAAGCAACGGTATCCAGTACATTAATAAAATTCAAGTTAAAATTCATCCAGAATGTGGAAGCATTTAAATGTATAAACAAGAACGTTAAATTTAACTCCGCGCGATCGTAAAAGAAATAGCATGGTATCTCGCATCCAAATGTGATCTTTTTTGATATCGTATAAATTTCCGGTCCGATGAATCTGATATAGTAAAAAATTTCCTCGCATTAAAGGTATTCAATAGGGAGATCGGATGCTGACAATGGGGTGCAATACTCGTGGTTGTGGAAATTGGCTAACGTTACCCAGTCACCATATAGCTACTTGTGGACCAATGCCAGCACCGCACCCGAACTAGTAGCTGGCCCGTCACGCCGTACGATGTATGTCACTGCTCTTTACTTCACAATGACTTGTATGACCTCTGTGGGCTTTGGAAACGTTGCAGCCGAAACCGACAATGAGAAGATTTTCACCATCTGTATGATGATCATAGCTGGTACGGATACCACTATAATCCTGAATCTAATTGTAAATGTCCGTAAATCAGCTACAAAAGGAATATCTCGATCATCCGACAAGTTAAATAAAAAAAAAAAATACTTGCGAATATTTCAACAAAGTTGGATGAAAAAAATACTTGCGAATATTTTGCGTAAAATAAAAATTTAAAGAATTTTTTCTTTTTCCCTTTCTCTCCTTCCCTCAACCAGCCTTATTGTATGCCACGATCTTCGGTCATGTCACCACTATCATCCAACAAATGACGTCCGCTACCGCCAAGTATCACGATATGTTGAACAACGTGAGAGAATTTATGAAGCTACATGAAGTACCAAAAGCTCTTAGTGAACGCGTCATGGATTACGTCGTTAGCACGTGGGCGATGACCAAAGGCTTGGATACGGATAAAGTTCTCAACTACTGCCCTAAAGACATGAAGGCCGACATTTGCGTGCATCTTAATCGGAAGGTCTTCAACGAACATCCCGCCTTCAGGTAAATTCTACAATCATATATATACAAGATTTTAATTTAAAAATTAACTAACATTAAATTATAAATGTAATATTTAATTATTGTCAACTATAATAATTTTAATTCGCTATGCTCGTTTATTATTTAGATTAGCGTCTGATGGATGTCTGCGTGCCTTGGCGATGCACTTCACGATGTCACACAGCGCACCCGGCGATCTGCTCTATCATACAGGAGAATCCATCGATTCTCTGTGCTTCATCGTGACTGGTAGCCTCGAAGTCATACAGGATGACGAAGTAGTGGCAATACTGGGGAAAGGCGACGTTTTCGGCGACAGCTTTTGGACGAATCCAACGATCGGCCAGAGTGCAGCGAATGTTAGGGCGCTTACTTATTGCGATTTGCATACAATCAAACGAGATCGGCTCTTGGAGGTGTTGGACTTTTATCAAGCTTTCGCAAACTCCTTCGCCAGGAACCTGATTCTAACTTACAACTTGAGTCATCGGGTGAGTCTCTCAAATATTTAATTTTTTTTTTTGCAAATATTTTATTGTAAATTGATGAAAAGGGTCAAATATGACAATTAAAATATAGGATTTTGATTGTTTATTGAACTTTTAATAGATCTTACATTAGTGCGATGATTTGCTTTGACTTTATGATGGCAAATGATCAGTGTTTGCATATTTCTTTGCACGACGATTATACAGTCTTAGTTAATAAAAGCAATTTGTATGGCACACGGTTATTCGTTTATAAATAATCAACATATGCAAAGAATGATAAATTAACAATTACAATAAACGACTCATCAGGCACTAGACAATAGGCATTCGGGTCACGCAACAATCAACATTCTTTAATATCGTACCACTGATTTCATAAATACACGTATACATGACATTAACAAAATTATACACGTATGACTGAACGATCGAAGAAATAATCGCGAATTGAAAGATATCAGGCCGTTTTAAAAGGGGACAAAAGTCCTAATAATATATATTTAAATAAGTAATTACAAATAAATAGTCTCACACAAGACTGTAAAAAATGTGGAATTCATTCATACAAACAGATAAGCGTTTTTCATTCAGACTTCCGTAACAATTTTCGTAATATAATTCGTTTCTGTAATGAGTTTTAATTGTTTCTCGCGTCGCTATCACGTGAATTCGTTTCAACTTTAAAGATACGCACTCGTGTAAAATAGGAGGACTCTTTCATATCGTAAACATTATTATAGTTATGTATAATTATGAGTTTTTTAATACATTTCTCGTACCCGCATATATCCCATTACAACTATAAGAATCGATAACAATAATTATATAGATTTTATTCTGTGTAAAATCAATTGATCAATTTTAAATATCTGCAAATATCTTTAGAACTAACATTCTCTCTCTTTCTCTCTTTCTCTCTCCTTCTTTCTCTCTGCTTAATATCTCTTAAAAATCTCTATATTTATCACAATTACACTTGTTCTTCGCGAAGTCCCTCACTGTGTAACTTACGACCGGACAATTCTAGCATGACCTTCGATGTCGGATCTTGATCCAACACAGACTGCATTTCGCGCACGTCCTCTTCTACATCTGGCACTGGACCGACTCCCCATACCTCGCAATGTTTAATTTTGAAGTCTTCCTTACCGCTAAGCTGTACATAATTTTGAAAAGTCGTGCACGACAAACTTGATTTTCCGGTGCCGTATTCACAATCCAACCAGAGGCCGGGATAATTAAGCTGTCCCCCCATAAGCAGGCCATTAGGCATCGTCTGCTGATGGAGATTGAGATACTGATAGTGATTGTTGTAATTTGTCGATGAAAATGTCAATATTTCCGGCTCGAGCTTGAATAGGAATGACGTTTGATTTCCTATGAAATTCGGTCCTAGTTTCCAGCTGTCCGAGGCGAAACCGCCAAACACATGATCATCCATATCTTGAAGTATAATAATTGTAGCACCTTGCATCACGATTCTTCCTAACATGGTTGAAAATGATTCGCCATGCACTTGACTCGAAAACAGAAATCGCCATTCGTTACGTAACTCGTGTGGCAGACTCAAATTTAGGAACAGAACATCTCCCAAACCTAATATACTTGGAAAGTGCGGTATATTTTCCAAACCCTTGCATAAAGGCAAAAGGTTCAGATCGTTTATTCGCGCTCCTGTATTCTTATCGCTACCTTTCTTTTGGGAGACTAAATAGAGGTACTGGAAAACGTGCGATTGAATATTCTTAAATGTGGCAGCTGTCATGAACCAACTTTCGACTTGATCGAAAGTCAACACATCCCCATACTTGATCAGATCCTCACAGAGACTGCGAGAACGCATTCCTATGCGCCTAGTGTTGACCGTGCAGCCGATGCTACTCCAAGTGAGGTAATGCGCATTGACAGAGTTCTTTTGTAGTCGTAAGTAAGAATTAATCGTTGCTTGAAGATACTGAAGGAACGAAATGGTGGGTATTTCATATTTTTGCTCTTCCTCCGAGAGACCATCAAAGATTAAATTGGTGCGTTCCTCGGGATTACCGCGTACGGCAAAGACATAGAGTCGACCAAAGTTCTCTCCATTGATGGTCGAGACTTTCTTTCCTGGATCATGACAGAGAAATCGGACTATAAATTGCAATAAAGCATCATCCAAATGTATCGACCAATGTTTGAATATGTCCTCGCGTTTGATGGAACCTGAGCTGCGGGACATAGACTTAAAGAGGTTCTCCACTAATGTCAATTCCTCTGTGGAAAGAATATTTGCTGATGAAGCAGAACGGCTTGATCCATGACCCATCTGTAACAATCATACAGTGTCAGTTGTTCTGCTTTTATTTCAAAAGTAACTTTTATCAATCAACTTTTACTACCTTTTACTAATCAAATCATTTTTCTAAATAATAGTTTAATTCTCTATATGTATGACTTTAGAGTCGTGTTTGATGTCACATTACATAGAAGAAAAAGATAAATAAGAGTTTTCCTCTTTTCTAATCATATTTTAGGATTTGCGCAGGGTACGCTATACATTTGATCGTTATTGACTTTGAAATCATAAAAAACAACTATACAATCTATCACGTCATTGATAAAGTGATTGATAAAGAATATATATTTTACACACCTTTCGTACGGGCGAGCAACCTTTCCCGACAGTCCATATACCTCCTGGTCTTCCACCCGGTCGCCCTGTCTATGTCGAGAACGCAAGGACACCACCCTGCACCTTTTTTGGACCGCAGATCCGCTGCATCCGCAGATGTCGACTGGTGTCGGCACTGTCGACGTTGTCGGCGGCGCGACGTTGCGTCACGTTTCGTCACGTCACGTCACGTCGTCGTGCGGACGACGGCGATCGTGCGGTCGACTTGGACCGTTGGACGAATACGTCAACACGGTCACCGGAGGTCTTTGAAGGTTATGTGCAACGCGCGAGCAACTCGCTGCTACGAGTCGCCACGAGTGCGCACCTCTCATCGACACTATCGACAGACACCTATCGACTTCCATCATAACGCCTGCGCCAACTGACGCACGACGCGCGGTGCATCGTCTATGCATCATTTGCGCATTTTCCCCGTTCGTTCGTTCACGAGTAATCAAAACTGACGGTGAAACATTGAAACTTGTCAAAATTATAACCGTCTCTCCTTTAATAACGCGAAAAAGTTGTGAAGCAGGCTAAGTGGCTTAATAGCAAATCGCGGTCTAAGACAAAAATTCAAGAGATCTCGAAAACCTATATAAGAGAGGAAAAAATTCTTTTTTTCTAGAGACGGAATTTTGGAGCTCTGAATTTTTGTACGAATATAAACGCAACAAAACTAATTGTATTTAGACTCAGTAATAATAGTATTTGTAAAATTACTTTGAGTGCTCGGAGTACAAAGAGCGGGACAGCGAAAACTGAAAATCCAGCTCATCTATCCTTCAACTGTCAGCTTATAACACTGTCTATTCCACTTGCAATGCATTTGTTTACGCGTTTAAGTATTTTTTTACGCTCACACGAACTTTCATACCAAAGAAACAGGGGCAAAAATTCGAAGATTATCAAGAGATAATTACCTCGCGAAAATATTCATCACACAATGTGTACATAAAACACAAAAGAGTTGTAAAGGATGAAGGCAGGAGACGAGGATTGAGGTAGGACAAACTGAGAGAGGACAGGGCAAGGAACGACACGAAACGCGGTTGGATGCGATCTCGCTCAAAGGGAATTATAGGCGCGTTGCCCGAGTTATCTAATTTTCATGCGGTAGATGAGATGAGATGACCCGGCCTATGCACAGAGCGCATTCGAGATGACGCGCATCCATAATACGTCAAAGTCGAAACACAGCACCGGCTGTTTCCATGCGATTTTCGCACTGGCGCGAAAACGTTTGACTGTTAAGTATTGTTTAAATGAATATTGATTCTTTTGTTTCCTATTTCCAAAAAGAAATTGCTGAAAGTTATATGTCGAGTGTCGTAAAACGATTAAACATGACGTGTACCAACAACGTTGTGTAATTAATATCTGTAGCGTTTTTTTCATCAAATAGGAAATTTATTGTATTATTATTATAGAACAAGGTTAGGTATAATTAAATATACTCTAAGTTAGAGTAAACGCTAACTAACATAATATTATTATTATATTAACATAATATTAATATTATTATTATAAAATTTTATTCAACAATATTAATGTATGTAACACACATTTATATAGGAATTACGTTGTTAAATAAGAAATAACATTAATGTTACTGGATATAACATATATCTATGTAAAATATAGTAAGATACAAAATAATGTATATATGAATTTCTCTTATATATAATATATACGTATACATTGTTTTTAATAAGTTTTAATTAAAAAACATTTTAATCCCTATGTATCTTTTTTATTTAACTATTATTTAAGAAGAATCTTTTTTATCATGTATAGCACGTTAATGAAGGTGAATTCTATGCATAGCTCATCTTTCGGAAAGTCGCCGATGTCCGTCGAGAAAAGGAATTGGCCGAAAGGAGAAAAAATGAGCCACAATTGGATCAAGCTCAGGATCATCTGGTTCGCAAAATCTTCTCGAGGTAGGAAACATTCTTGCTTGTTACTATTTATTAGTTACCGAATACGATCGAATGTATTCAAGTTTGACATCAATTACTCATCTTTTGTGGAAGTAAATATGTGGATCATAAGGAATCTATTCCGAGAAATTGAAAAATGGAAGTTGTATAAAATAAAATAAACATTCGATTACTTTTAAATTAATCCTTAATTATTAAAATTAAAAATTTAATGTCACGGAATGGATTTCTGCCGAGAAAATTACAATTATTGCAAGCATTAGTTTGTAGTTGACGACTTCCGGTTGCCACTGATTAAATTCGAAAGTATCTGCTTCGACTGATTTTGACAATCGTAAAAATCTTTATCGAAGCATACGAGAGAGCGCAATTTTACACTCAAATTTCTTCGTATAACGACTAGATATAAGTGAATGTAATTTCCCATGTGATATATATCATAAAATTCTGCATATTAATTCATAATATTCTCATATATAAAGAACATGTGCACGCGTACAACGATATATGATTTTTCATAATATAATGTAATTGTTAATAAATTGTGAATAAAATAAATTTTTTCTACTATCGATAAAGATAAAATAAATTTTTCCTGTTATCGACAAAGATAAAATAAGTACAATTTTGTTTGAAATAATTCTGTGCATTAATTAATTTTTATATATGAATAATGTATACGTATGAAAATAACTAAGAAAATAATTACTTAAGAAAAATGATTAAAGTAATAATTAAAGAGTTAACAAGAAAATTGTATAAAATCACGTTTATTAAAACTGACTTAAAAGTACTCAAGTTTATTATTGTGTAATGGTTACAGATGGTTTTAACAGTTTTACATCTTTATGCGCGTGCACATGCAGTATCCTGCGTGACACGTGCGAGAGAGAGAGAGAGAGAGAGAGAGAGAATAAAAAAGAAAAGAATGCATGAGAAAGATAAAGAATGATAAAAGGTTTTATTACGGATTTTTGTATCTTCCGTGGCTGTTGCTGAATGTGACTGTTGATCGTGTTGCTTGGCTGGCCTGTTCTTTCCAAAAAGGTTCAAGAGTGATGCAGAAAGCCAGATCGGTGTGACCAGGACCGTGAGTGGACGGTCTCATCAGGATTCCGACGAGGAGCTCACTGTGAACGTCCTGCCACCCTGGCCGAGTTTTAGGCAATTTCATTATTTTTCTTACGTATTTATTTCTTCTCTAATTCTTTTTTGCCGTTTTCCTCGCTACACGTCTTATTATTATTATTATTATTGTTGTTATCATTATTATATCGTTATCTTTTATCTCATTGAACTTACATTTGTTACCATTAATTACCATCGTTATGACCGTGGCAGTTTTATTAATACCCATTGCGATGTATACTGTATATTATTACATTATGCATATTATACCGGAATACCTGTTTCGATATTCGTATACATGTGTATATATGTAATATTCATGAATATATACTGTGTACCACGGCAGCGCGCGTGATGCACGTGTCTCCGCGGGTTAATCCCACATTTGCATTCTGATGATTCTGAGTTTCGTTAATGAAACGCCTCATTGCGTACTTTTGATCTCTAAGTCAACTGTTTGTTAACTTTAAAAATATGAAATAAAATAATTTAAAAAAAAAAAGAATTGAAGCAGATATGCTTTGCGAAGAACTTTTATGTGATGTATATCCAACGGAATAGGACTCTTCTTATAAATGATTTATACTTAAAGAAAAATCAATTTTTTGTAATTTTAACGATGATCTTGCAAATAAGGGATTAAACTGCATCATCTTTTAAAACAAAGGTAACAACGTGCAGAATGTTCTTATACAACATCGACAAACTTGACTCAACTTTATCTCTAACCACAAGATGTAGAAAACTGATTTTTTTAATGGAAAAAATAAATACTTAAATTTATATACATAAGATTAGAAATAATTTACAAATCATTTTTAAATGGCTTTTAAAAGAATCAAGTCTTTATTTGTTTTGATCAGATTGTGCTTTGATAAAATCTTAATATAATGCTTATAATTAGCTATACTTTGAAAAGTTTAACATTGGAATCCAAGGAAGCGTAAAGAAATCCAAATAAATTTTCCTTGAGACGATATCGTTTTCAGATTGGTTTAAGATTTCTCTTTGGTATAAAATTTGTCACTGTCATTCTCAAGAACACGCTGCACACATGCAGGTACTTCCCCAAATTCATTTGACGCGATAAATATCGTAATGCGTCCCGTAATGTGCCAGCCGGAAGGTATCACGTACGTACACTTGCTGTACACACGCTTAAATTATGAATAATAATAAATTTTCATCGCACGTCTACGTTGAAACACGAGCAAATCGAGAATGGTAGCCGCTACGAACATTTCAGACATTTATCCTCGTCAAATGCATTTACGTTATATATTCCATATATTATATTTTTGATAAAATATATAAAATCAATACGCTGTTTTGCTTTAAAGTATTGTAACGTCATTGATATGATTAATTATGATTTCTCATTAATGTTTATTAAAGTAATAAAAGACAAACTAGAAATGGGATTCATTTGACAATGACATAGTATTGATATAATGATATAATATTTAGAGGTCATTGGAAATTTTCTGTAAATAATTCTAATTTGTACTAATTTTTAACGTCTGAACATTTTGTAAAATACTTCATGTTAATAAAACACTTCGGTTTGTTCGTCCTTCCAGCAGCATTTTCACGAGACGTACATTTTATTTGCGATATTGTATCAGTACCATTATTTTAACGATTATACTGCAGTTTTTAAACGAATGCTAGAGTGCTGTAAGATATATGGCTTTACAAGGTCATGCGCATCTTTTTCGCATAATCATGATAACATACATTTTATAATTAAAAGCCAGAGTCACATAACATAAATTACAGGATTTCGTACAGTTTTTATTCCCTCCGTTATACAGCTTTGCAACTTTATCAGCCAGCTTTTATTTTCAGCGCTAGAGCGAAATAACATACGTAGTCATAACGCTATGGATACTCCGAATCTTTACAAGGTTTGTTAATAAAAAGCAGAAGAGATCTGAATCGTACAATTTAATATATTTAATAAAATTGACATCAGCAATAATACTTTTCGAGCAAACGATATCTTACCTGTATAATTAAAGACTGCGAATGTAATTATTAGTCGCGCATAAAATTGCGCAAACTCGTAATGCTGTCGGCGAGATGAGAAACTGCCGAAATCCTGATATATTTATTATTTTGATCTTCTTTTTCTGCAAAGTGAAGTGCATGTGACGAACGCACACACTCTAGTATTCAAATTTCTCTTTATCTCCTATATATAGTTTATCTTTATGAGAGTGCATATATACGTACGAACATATATAAAATACTGTCATGCAGCTGCCCGAAAAATTATTGGAATGCCAGACAGAAAACTAAATGAATATCACGCTACATTTACGATTTACAGCTACAATATTCTGCTTTTTAAAAATTTCTATTATAATAATCAACGATTTTATACATATATGTATATATATATATAATATATGTTTTTCGCAACTGCCTGATTTACACGCAATATGCTTTTATCGCTCTAATTATTTCTCCTGAATTATTACTTGATAGTTTTACGCTACTTTTTTTTGTAGCATAATTAATTATATTATTTGTGCTCACTCTACTCTTACAATAATATTTATAATGCTACGGTCAAAATATTTTTATAGTTTTTATAGTTCAACGATATATTTTTATAATTCAACGATAGACGTCTTCTGATTTACATGCATGATAAAATCGAGATTTTCTTTAGAGATGATAATAATAAGATTATTTATTATTATTTATTATACAAACACACACGTTAGTAAATTCTGTAATCAATAATATTTAGTTAATTGAAAAATTTCGAATCGCCTTTGTCAATTCAAGTGCATGATGACATTTTAATATTTTAATAAAAATTGCATATATATGTATATATATATATATATATTAAAATTTGGAAAAGAATTCTCTTATAAGCTACGCAAATTATTTTGTATTTTCGATGATTATTTATATAAAGTCGGAACATTAATTCGGTTTATTATAATAGTATTATAATATAATAGTAACTATTAATATATTAATGTATTTTTAATAAAAATTAATAAAAATTGTATATAAATCGTTGATTAATTTTTTAGAAGAACGAGCGTTCTTTGATATACGCAATACGATTTTAATAGCATTTTTCACTGCCTACGCGAATCTTATTTCACACAATGGCGCTGTGACAGCATTATTATTTTATAACTATTCGCCGCGTTCAATATGTTCGACAAAGTGGCATTCCTAAAGTTTGTCAGGCAATTTCTCATCCCGATGTCGTTATCTTAAAAGATAATATACCAAAAAGATAAACGTTGGTCAACGCTAGTTGGTATTATAATAACATTCTCGTTAAAAAATGAAGACAAAATTAAGTATTTTTGATATTTTTTGATAATTTTATAACATTATTAAATAATTTTATGAATTTATGAATTTATGAATTTATTATTTGCTATTAATGGATTTGATATTTTAGTTCAATATTTTATGTGCAAAAATTCACGTTCAGATACAGTTATTTAAAATTTTTGATACAATAATTTTTTGTAATATTGATATTATCAAACATAGAAAAAAATTATTATATTATTAAAGTGTTTACAATTAGTACGTCGCAAATACATGATTTATTATTAACTTAGTGAAGATACCGTACTAACAATAAGATTTTCGTCAAGAAACATTTACGAATTCAAGTACTCTCAATTGGTGTCAGCAATATCGCCGTTTAACTATTGCCAAAAACCAATTAAAGTGCATGAAGAATACAAGACTTCTTAAAAAGTTTTTTTCTAAGAAAGTATCAACTGGCGTATGTCCATGATTTAAATTGAATTAAGAAATTGTAGCACGCGCGTGAGAGGCTTGTATATATTATAATTTTAATGTAAAACATTAATAAGGTCCGTATTCAGAACGCGCTTTTATGATCAGCGCGTATTTAACATACAGTTCACGTATACTACAGAATTTCACACATAACAGCGCGTATTTATCGATAAAAGCGCGTTCTGAATACCGGTCTACAGCTTTGGTAATTCGAATGTTATTGGCAGTACGAGAACGTGTCTTGTTCGAAAACTGCTTTGTGACAATCTTCATATGATAAATTAATCAAAATTTTCACCATCGGTGTTTACCAACGTTCTCTTTCCATATGTTTTGCCAACTCGTCCACCACCGTCGTGGATCCCGTAGGCACGTCGCACCATAAGTCGCTCGACCGCCAATCAACCGAGGCTATTTTCCTGTTTCTAGCTCTCGATAGTAGGCGGCTATATTCTACGCTACGATGATAACCTGATTAGCTTGGCCTCGAACTAGTTCGGAGATGCACCGTAGATACAATCGGACCGGAAATGAGAAAACGAAACTCAATGAAGTTATATAGAAAATCAAGTTTTTCACGTGGGAATGGTCTTTTGTCCAGCACCCCTTCACCACACTTTTGCCCCTCTATGCATTTGTACTTTGCTGCCCTGGTCCAAATCTAGGGAAAACCAGCCTTTATCGTATCTTCTCCTTCGTATATAAATATATTTTGTCGATTATATAATTACATTAGGAAATAAAGGAGAATTTGTTTCTTTTTCTATTCTATATAGATTTCGCCGCGATAGACAACACACTGCCGATGTAGAAAAGGGTGACGGCAAAGATGCCAAGGATGGCGAAACGTCGCAAGCTAAGAAGCTGTCTACCACCGAAGAAGGTGGAACAACTGTCGCAAAAACGCGACCCGGCAAGTGGGGGCGTTTATTAGGTAAAATTACAAATAAATTGTTATTAATCTTAATTGCATGTAAAAAATCAATTAAATTAATAAGATATATAATGCGCAATCGAAGAAAGAAATTAAAATCGTACATTTATTGAGAAACTTATGAAAACGCTTATAATGCTACAGGTAGTTCAAGTTTGGACACCGGTAGCGAATCGGGTACGGCTGGCGATGCATTCAAACGATCTCTTAGCGCAAGAGACTCGCGCCCGAGTTCCAGCGCCGGCACCAATAAAGTCTTCCCGAAGCTAGGTAAACTGGGAGAGCGCACAATCGAAGAGAGTGGCGATAATGTCGAAAATCAGAAGGATGCTCAACAACCACAAGCGCCGCAACAACAAACCCTCAGCATAAGCTCAAAGCAGTTGCAGCTACGACGTCTAGAGAGCTACGATGGTGGTCTGATTACACAGCAACCAAGTCACGAGAGAGAAGTTCTTGCGGCGGTATTGGAAGTGAAAGTGGATTTAAAGTTAGAAGTACAAAGAGTAAATCAGCGGCTAGCCAAAATCGAAGACATGCTGCAGGCACTGATGAACAAATTGCCAGCCGCCGGATCATCGTCCAGCGGCATTAATGGCAGTTCTCAGCAACAGAAAATTCCGAGCTTTACTCTGAGCGGTGTTCAGAGTCAGTCGCCCGTCACCCCGAGCGCAATAACATTGGTTCAGTCCGCGACTCAGACTATGGAGTATAGACCGTCGATCGCTACCACGTCGACATCCACGACACCGAGCGAGGGATATCGGGAGCAGTCGACGGCGACGGAGCGAATATCAAAGAGCGGTCAGGAACACCACCATCATCATCACCATCACCATCAATCGTCGTCATCGCGGGACGTCAGCAAGGAACTGTTAGAGCGGCTTGCGCAGGCTTCCACGTCGCGCGGTGACGATTCGAATGCCTTGGGACCGCTTATCCTGCGAAAGCGACGCAGCAAATCGCGCAACAAAGGTGCGGCACCGCTCGCTCCTCTTGCTACGCAGCCAATGAGCCCGTCAGAAGCCACGGAGACCACGCAGATGCTTGAGTGTACCGACGATCGGGATTCAAGTAGTGGACCGACCGACAGAACTGTCACAGACAGAACCGCCGAAAGACCCGACCGTAAAAGACCACCGCCTAGACCGAGGGAGTATTTGTGAAAGTTCTTCTTGCGTCGATTATTTCTTTTCTTCCTCTCCTCGAGACAATCTACCGCGACGCGGTCAAAAAACTTCATTCAATACGCTTGGTAGTTTAGCCTTTCGTAAGAACATGAGTCCGCTGTACGATAACGCGCTCACAGTTATCTTATTCTAAAACGTTCATGTATGTACATCGAACAATAGCCATTGTTTCGTTACTCTCTCGTTTGTATGCATGGACAATGGCACGTAACGTGGTTTATCGTTTTCGTGCAACTGGAAGATCTACATAGTTGTTGGCTTTACGCGCGTGCTTGAACTTCTTCGATTATACGATTGAGTATTGAGTGTGAGTAAGTTTATTCTGCTTCTCCTGAACAGCGGACATCGCTGTTAACGAATATAACGATAATTATGTTTATATATCGACTCTGATAATATAGACGTAAAAGGTTATTTATAAAAAGAAGAGCTTCGTTAATTGTTCTTCAAAATGAGTGGAGGGAAAGATGAGGTAACTCAAGATTTCACGATGAAGCGCCTCGAGCCGATGAAACGCCAGCGTAATTCTACTTGGCCAAAAGCAGCATAATTACCGAGGAAACGAGGTAAAGAAATGCATCTTAAGTACGAATTACTCGCTAGCGACGGCTTCTTCGAGACACATCGAAACTCTCCGAGGGAGTATATCCATCCCTGTATACACATACACATATACACACGTAGATAGATATAGATTCACATGCATCGTATAGTGAATTTCACAGTAGAGTTTCATGGCGATTACGCTACATTTTTAAGCCTCTTTCCGGCCACAAGAACGGTCACATCGACACCAAGCCATTGTCTCTCTTAAGGCAGCATGGCATTTTGTAATTATTAAGCCAAGCATGTGATTCGTGATATAATTTGTAATAGTGGTGTCTAACCAGATTGTCAAGGTTGTATAGTCGGAACCGACCAAGTATATTAATCTTCAATAAATATCATAAAGACATAAAATGTTTTAGGATCGAGGACATTGAGAATATGTTACAAAAATATAAAGTAAAAGCTAATATAGTACAATAAAATAATTAGTCTTACATATAAAATGGAATAATTAAAATTATTCCTCTTTCAAAAATATTTCACGGCTTTTTTATTAAGTAGTAAAGTAGTAAAAAAAAAATAACAAAATTTTAGTATCGTATTATAGATTCCATGATATTGAAATGTATGATACCGCAAATGTAAGTGATTTGGTACAGTGCAAGGACAGTATGTACTTTTGTTAAATTCAGTCGTGATAACCATCCATGAATCATTAAAGAAAATTTAAAATTTAAACTTTCTGTTTAGAAACTCATGGATAGATACTACGATTGAATTTAACAAAAGAACTTGTCCCCCAAGTCGCTTATATTTACGGTACTTGTTGAAGGCTAAAAGATCTAAATAGGTAAATAATTTTTTTGGGGTTCGAGTAATTAATGGAGATATAAAGATTTCTGATCTTTTCTGAAAAATAGAAGTATTTCCGGAATAATTTTTTTCTAATATAAATTTAAACAAATTATTTTTAGTAGGTTGCTGTCTCAAATACATTTATATTGCGTCCTCATTTTTTACTAATTCTGCACGTTTAAGGTTCTACACGATTAAATTGAGTTATTTGAAAAAGACAACTGGTTCAATTGAGAGTACATGTATGGTATTTAAACATATATTTTCCTATAGACAGACAGAATATGTATTGCAATAGAGTAAAGGTACCTGAATCTAAACTCGAAGGCTTTATTGCGTCGATTCAATTTCCTTTGGAGGGAAATGGATCAACGATTTTAAAATATGTGATTTGGGCACTACCGATAGATAGAGGAATTTTTATCTTGGTTGAAAAATGTTTAGAAATCTTTATTTTAAATGTACATTTCTCTTTTTTACTTCAAATGCATTGAGCAGTGCTATCGAGCAATGCTGAATAATTATAGAGCAGAAGAGCGAAAATGAGAACTAACTTGAATACTCGAAAGATCTCATCGTATTTGACAAATAGTCAATGGAATTGCAAATGTGATCGTTCTATCGAAGATGGAACCGTCGACAAAATCTGTTGCATATTGCAAGTATAACTTAAGCAGTTTCGATTGAAACCGTAATTTAAAAGTTTTCAATAAATTTCACATAGTCTAATTATTTTTGTTATATTTTTTAATTAAAAATTTTATCATTGTTATTTATTACAATACATATTATATTGAAATCATAAATTACGAAAATATTTTTTATAACATTTTATGTTGCCTTTTTATTTATGCCTTAATTATTTATTTGATAATTTAATCATATTGCATTTTACATGACGAATGATTATAAAGCAATGAACAAGTGTGATTTAACTTGAAAATTTGCTCTTCAAGTTAATGAAAATGTTAATTCGTCAAGAGAAGTTACTCGTACAGATAGTATTGTTACGCGGAGATGGCGCTACGTTCACAAATTCGTATGATATACATACGAAGCCAAAACAGCAATATTAGATGTATATATCTTGTAATATGACATGTATATATATTTGCATAATCATTGACCATGCAGACGTGAGAAAGCACGCTGCTGCTGCTACTGCTGTAGACGAGAATGGCGTCTTTGCTAACAAAACAAGCTGACAATCAATCTTTTGCAAATATTTATTAGATTCAGCCTTATTGTATATATATAATTATATACAAAATTATCGTATAATTATATACGATTTTGAATTACTTGCCATTGCTATTTGTGAAAAAGAGAAGAAACAAACTTGTTTCAACAGCGTGCTATTTTTTACTTTTAATCACCTTTTTTATTTCATATTTTTATAGTTATGCAATTGTAAGAAATTAGTATTTTTCTATATTCAATCAAGAGCCATGAAGAGCAAAGGCACAATTCTCATCACCGAAAACATTTGATCAAAGCGAAAGTATAGACGCAAATACGTGCACACACGTAAAATACACATACACATATATTTGCGCATGTACATATTTATATACATATATAAATATAATAAGAGACAAAGAATATATATATATATATAAATAGAGAATATATAATTTCATGTTATGGAAGAAAAATTATCGAAAAATCGAGAACTTTGTTAAATAGATTTAGAGACAGAAACGATATAGCTGGCTCTATCATAGTTTATATACTTATATGCAAAGAAAAAGATTTAACACTGTTGAAATTGTAGTAGTTAAGCCAATTAAACGATTAAGTCTATCGCTCATCGATTATATTGAAATGCGGTACGTTGAAATTTTTCATACACTAATCATATCGCGCGGGCCGTTATACGCTAAAATGCTCGACTTTTGCAATTTCCACTCATTTTCAACAATAGGATTTTAGTTTACAATATATGGGATTATCATCCGTGCGTTTCAATATAAAATATATCTGAACCTAGCGCTATTTTGAATGGCGTATCGATGATCGAAATTTGTATTATCAAATAAAACTTAATCATTGCAAAGTCAACTAAACTTAATAATTTTGAAGTATTTAACATTCAGAATATTTTAATTTTCGATGAAATATTATAACTGATTGTCGAAGTCAAACAATATTTTCACTTATTTATCCTTAATTATCAGAACCTACAAAATATTTAAATTTTTTATTTTCGAAAATAATTTCTATTATAACATATCACAGAACAAAATTAATTTTAAGTGCCATAACAAAAAAATAAATGATAAACATTATTTTTAAAAAAAGTTAATAGTGTTTTATGAGGCTCATATATATAATATTATTTTTATTTAGTTTGAATTAAGTTGAAAAAATTGAGCAATAATATACGTGTTTTGTAAAACCGGTTTATGTCATAAGATTCAAAAGATGAAAGAAACTCAGAAGATGAAAATCCAATTTCTTAATTACAACTACCTTTCCTATACAATAATGAAAAACATAAAATATATAATATATATTGAAAAACATATAATATGGAAACGCACGCGATGTAAATCTGAACGATAATTCCGCGCTTCATTGCTTAAAAATTGTTCACCGACTGTAATGCTAGTTTTGTTTGAAGATCACAATTTCTATTTGTTACTATAAGATATGATAAAATATGCTTACAATCCAATGAACTCTAAATAGCAGCAGTATTTCTTTTAAGATCAATGCGATAAAGTGACAGCGAGGTAAGAAAAAAGATGTATAGAATTTCGATTAATACATAAATAAACGCGAGAGTTTGTTATCCAATTATTCCGTGATATTTATGCACAAACTTAAACATAGCAGTATCACTTTCGATAGATCAGAGAAGATGATTTCTGTTAGCTTTGAAATTATTAAACGACTGAATGTATGACAAAAGATATAATACGATAAAACTTATGAAAAATCTGAGAAAAGAATGTGGCGTTTAAATAAAGAATACTAATTGAAAGAATTACTATAACATTTCTTTCATTATCGGATCAGTTTCATTATCGAAAACAAATATAATATATAATCACTTATAAAATATGGAAATATTATGAATATCATAGAGAGACCTCTTAACATTTGAATTCGATTCTTGCTAAAATTTATGTTATTTTCTCTTTCTTCAAAGCTAATTGAAATCTGCTAAATCTTTAATAAGACATACGTGATACTGCAGCTTTAGATAAATACTAATTGTAAGTATAGAAAATACAGTAGTGTAATAATCTATATTTCTCAAAGAAAGAATATGATATTAAACAAAGAATTGCTCGTTAAATATTGCGCAGTTTTGTAGGAAAAGTCATGAGAGGAAAGCAAAAACGAGCGTAAAAATAAACGTGCCCGCGTGTAAAAAGAAATAGCTTTCTCCATTCGCGATCTGCCCAAATTGCTTTTAATATTTCACTGTCATCGTTTGGTTGCGTTAATAATTTTTATCTATTGCAAAAATCTTTGCAAAAACTTCATCGAGGCTGCGCGATAAATTTTTTTTTCTTTATTTTTTAATTTGGGGAATCATACAGAAAAAATATAACATAGAAAATCCGTTTAGAATATTTGAAAATTTAAAGACAGTCATATT